GTGCGAATTGTCTTGAATTTTAATCAAGATTAAAATTTTAATTAAACATGTTAGTCGCAATTTTAATAAATATTTAAAATAAAATAATCGTTAAATTTTATTACAACAAAAATTAATTATAAATGGGTGTAAATTAATGAATTGCTTTTAGCCGGTAAAAACAATAATCCACAGTTCAAAATCGGCCCAGCTCGATAAAAATTCCGAAGTAAATTATTCCATTAAATAAAAATGTATCTGAAAGTTACAACCGATTAAATTATACAATGTTTTTTTCATAAATAGGCAATAATTCAAATTTTATTGCCCGAAAACCATTTTAATAAAATAGAATTATTAGCAATAAAACACAAGTTTAAAAATTTCAGTTGACATTGAATAATCGTTCGGTTTGCCGCTTGTGATGTTGATTTTACGACCCGGTGTTGATTAGTTGATTAGCCGGGCAACGGTAAATTGTTTTATTACAAATAATTCTGATTTATTTATCTACTACTGCCTTTTTCGTTGCCTCATCAACTGACTCATTGTGAGTTTTAAACCTTTGTGAACAGATACCTACTAACCATAAAAATGTCGTCCTATTGATTTATGTGATCCCTTATAGTTTTAAGCTGTTTATGTATCTAAGTAGTGTTTTCTTTATACAAAATAACAACTTTATAGGGCTTCCAAATCTGCCGTTTTGATAAAGAAAACATTTTTATGAAAATCACATCAGACATCCTTAATACCTAATTATTAAAGCTAGTAAATTAAGATAAATCTCAGTTTTAATTAACATAACACAGAACCGTCTCTATCGATTAAATCTAATCCTTTTTTATGGAATTTGTGGTGGACCCCCCGCGCACCCCTGTAGGTACGCAGCTGGTTCACGAGGTATACACTATTTTCAATAGGAGAGACAGTGCAGGCTCTAGGGGAATGTACAATGTTACACAAATCAGATTTGTACTTTGTTAATTTTATTTTGTAAAATTTTAACATAATTTTTTGTAGAAAACTAAGGTTTGAAATTATTTTAACAAAGGAAAATATTTTATCGAAAGTTTTGTAAAGGTAATATGCAATTTTGTAAGCATTTTGTTAATTTCAAAGGTTACAGATTATTATTAATTAAATAATAAAAAAACGTTCTAAAAATAACTTTTAGAGAATTTTTTTTAAGTAAATTAAAAATATGGTGTTAAAGACCGTATTTTTGTTAGTATACCCTAAAATTTTTGTGCAAATCAAACGAACAGTAATAGTAAAGATACAGCGCTTCAAAGTTGTCAAAAATTACCATTTTTCAGCAAAATAATTTTTACCGACTTTGAAGCGCTGTATCTTTGTTACTGTTCGGTTGATTTGTACAAAATTTTTAGGGTATAATAACAAAAATACGGTCTATAACACCATATTTTTAATTTACTTAAAAAAAAATCTCTAAAAGTTTTTTTATTATTTAATTAAAGGGCTTTAAAATTATTTTTTTTAAACCCTAGAACACGTAAACTGAGATATAAGTTGAAGTATTTTTAAATAAAATTTTATAACGATTGGTAAAGGCATTTTAGAGTTAGAATTTTTTTACTTATTATCCTTTTTCAAGTAATAGTAAAAAAAGTCAAAAAGAGGTAAAAAAAATCTATCTCATTTACACCCAAATATATAACTGTCATTTATAAAAGCACGGCGATTAGACACCTGCTTGTCAACAGAGAAACCGTCATAACTTTTTTTAAATTTATATTTACTAATTCGACTATTTCATTCAGTAGAACTTGACTAATAAGTATACTTTTATAAAAATGACTATCAATTAGTAATTTTTGACTAATTCACTTTTAGTTAGTAGTAGTAGTGGGAAATTTATTGAAGTTACCGACAAAATTAGACAAATTATTTTTTTACTTATTAATTAAGAAAGTTTTATCATAAAAATGACAATTTTAAAATAAAATAGCCGTTATCTGTGGAACTACATACTACGATACTTACAGGAAATTAAATTTACCGACAAAATATATAAAAAAAATTGTTAGATACCACTAAATTTTTTAAAAATTTACACATGATAATTGATCAATATTTTTTGCAGACAATTAAATTTTCAAACAAATTATTTCAAGAAAAAATTACTTTCAAAATAAGTTTTGCTAAAAAATTACAATGAGATTAACATCGCAATTATTTCTAAAACTACAATATTTATGCGATAATTCATAAGGACCTTTTGTGTACACAATTAAATTTTTTAACAAATAATATCTAAAAATCTTTTTTTACTTTTAAAATAAGTTAAAACTTGTAAATTGTAAAATAAAATACAATTTAAGGATAAAATCGTAATTACATATATCTGAAACTGTAATATTTATGCGATAATTGATAAGGACCTTCTTTGTAGAAAATTAATTTTCGAGATTATCTGAATATTTTACGTTAAAATTGATTTTTTGTAGACAATTAAATTTCCTTATTTATTTTGTTATTTTAATTTTAAGTGAATTTGGCAAGCCCAGGATGTTGACAGTAGTGCAGTTAACTAGATTTAACTGATAAAGCGTTAAAATTTGCGTACAGTGCCCATAAATCATTCTGTTTTTTACTGTAAAAAACTACTTCTATATCGATTTTTAGTCTATTTTCAAGGAATAAATTTTGATTTACACAGAAAAATTTGAGATTTAACGCCGGTAGATTTCCAAGTTAGAAATTCTAACGGGAATTCCAATAAATACAAGTGTCACTTATTGTACCTTTAACATTTCCCGTGAAAGAATTTTTAATACTTTGTGATAATATTTTGCAATAATTACGGGCAATGTTAATGGTAAAAATATTTATTGGGATGGTTACTTTATTCTCGTATAGATGTCGCTTTATTCAAATATTTAATTTAAATTATTTTTTAGATAATATTAGGAATTTGTCGTAGAAAAAGTGTAGTATGTTTATAAACTTTTAATTAATTAAATTAAACTCGTGACTTAAATAGCGTTTATTAAACTTAATACATAATATACTATTTTGTGCACATAATTTTAAAGAATAATATTTTTACTATTAACAAATTAATTTCGAAAAAAAGCGAATATTAGACACACTCTAATGTTCATGGATAAGACTCACTCTGAGCAAAAATAACAAACTAATTTTAAGAAGAATGTTAATGTTAACTTAATACAACTTAATATACTATTTTTTGCACATAATTATGAAGAATGATATTTTTGCTACTAGCAAATTAATTTCGAAACAAGCGAATATTAGACACACTCTAATGTTCATGTATAGGACTTACTCTGAGCAAAAATAACAAACTAATTGTGAGAAGAATGTTGCCAGGGACGCAAAAGCTTGCCGAAGCCGGCACTGCGAATGAGTAGAGGTGTGCTGGTTAGTTCGTGGCGCGCCAGATTGATGAGACTGAAGTGAACAGTTGATTTCTACATAAATAACGGCAATACAATATCGCTTTGACAGATTTATATGCCGGAGAGATGCCGCCCCGTGTCCAGATTTTTGAGTAAAACGCCCATCAGCTATCGTAAATTAACAATGCATCCGAGAGGAAATTACAGATATATACTGCATTCGCCACGACTCGTTCACATTTATTAATACGGTTTTTTATTTATTGACTACGATTTATACGGGGTGAGATTTATACGAACGCCCTGCAATATACGCAATAATTACTATCTACATTCGATTTTGCCCTATTATACCTAAACATATTAGTTTTAAAATTAGGTATTAAAAATGAAATTTAAGATGAAAACGGTTAGTTATTCTGACTACATTGAGAAAATCCGGCAATACGGGATTATTAAAATTTAATAAAATATCTTAGTTAAAAACGACAGTACAAAAATTACAATATACTGTATATATAGTATATACCGTATAGTATAGTATATTGTGATTTTTTGTATATCGTATCGTATATCGTATCGTATATCGTATCGTATATCGTATCGTATATCGTATCGTATATCGTATCGTATATCGTATCGTATATCGTATCGTATATCGTATCGTATATCGTATCGTATATCGTATCGTATATCGTATCGTATATCGTATCGTATATCGTATCGTATATCGTATCGTATATCCTATTCGTAAATCGTATCGTTTATCGTATCGTATATCGTATTTCGTATATTATACATGATTTTAACAAAATCTTAAATTCTTCTGTTTAAATGAAATTATTTTTCTTGTAATTAAATTTAAAACGTGAATTTCTTAAAATAGTTTTTTAACGTGTGGTTTTTAATATACAAAGGCTTAAGAGCAACAAGAACATCGCATTGACCAGTGGTATAATTAGTATAAAGTTCCACAAGGTACCATACAATATAAAGTTTACATATGTACATATCTTTTATGTAATTTAAATAATTACCTATTTTCCTTTTATCGTTTTAAACACAAACATTAAACCCAAAATGTTGAGGTATACTAAATTTAAATTAGTTTCTAGTATTGAAATGCTTTTTTGTTGAAAACGTAAATAACGAACGTGAATTTAAATAAAGAGGTGTAATTTCCACGAGGCCGATTTAAGTTCATGTTGGCTGTCACTCGAGCGAACCAGGTTGACAAATTATTTATTAGCTACAAAACAGGACAATAGGAATATTTAACAAGTTGTTTGTTCTTTAACAACTCCACTCATTTTATTTTAAAATGCACTCTTTAGAGTAAATGCATAAATAAAAATTCTTACGGTTTATTTTTATATATTTTTTAATTATATGGAGTAATTAAAATGAAATAAAATTTTTAAAAGTATGTCCCTGTCAAGGTGCTAATTAGTTGGGAATTTTGATACAATGTGATAACAAAAAGTTGTTGTTTTTTAATTTCTATAGGTCTATAAAAAAAGATAATTTTTTTATTTATTTCTCACTTTGACCTTCGATATCATTTAAATGAGTACTACAAAAATATATCTTGGTTATTGCTGTATGTGTATTTCCTAGCAAGTTATTTTTTTTCAGGTTTACATTGCAACAACACATGTCGGTGCACACAGGAAAATCTTTTAAATGCGCTTTTCCAGATTGCGTGTACACTGCCAGAAAAATGAGCGAAATCAGGCAACATTTCGTAGTTCATTCTGAAAATAAAGAATTTTCCTGCAACCAGTGCGACTACAAAGGAAAGACGAAACTACATCTAAATAGGTAAGAAACAGTGGCGTCTCGTGACGTGTATTTATGATTTTTCAGAAGTTACAAATCTGTTTTTATTAAATTTTTTTGTATAACTTCTTCCTCGGCTTTTCTTCTTGTAAAATTCTTATATTCAATAACTTTCGGCTAGACTAAACAAATTGCAGCTCTGTATGAATAGGTAAACACGGTCTTTTCTCATTTGCACGCTCGTTCTATTCCCATTTGTCGTTGGTCGGCTCAAGGTCGAGCGCTTGTTTTGTGACATTACACTCACATTACATACATTTTAGTTAATGAAACTGTTCCGAAGAAAACAATCTTTTCCTTGAGTACGACCCTGCCTAGAGAAATAAATAAGTTAGAAGAACACTTTTGCTCAGGCGGCAAATGTGGTACGATTCCATTAATTGACATTTCGGTTGAGTCCGAACCTTGTAATTAAACCCGTTATCGGCCAAGGAATCGACTCTTCAGTTCATTGCTAAACACTACTTGTCAACCGGTGAAGATACTTTATGGTCGAGCCGAGCGCATTTTTTCGTAATTAAATTTACTTAGGTCTTAATGTATTCGCGATGTGCTTTACTTATCTCGGAAATTAAGTAAGAGAAATTGAGAATGTTGAATTTATTTCGAGATTTTAATCAACATCAACATTTACTGAAAAATCTTTCATAGGCATATGGTTATCCATTCCGGCGAAAAGAAGTTCCAATGTCCTCATTGCAAATTTGCTACAAGAATGTCTACTCACTTACAAAGGCATCTGAGGACCCATTCGGGAGCCAAACCATTTAGTTGTCCACATTGTAAATATAAATGCAACTCATTGGTAAGTACAGACATTTTAATAGAAATGATCTTTATATCAGGACAGATCCCCCTGTTAAAAATCACCCATAGAGACCAATAGAAACCAATAAAAAATCAGAATGGAATGAATTGGTCTTTACTGGTAATTTCCGTACTGGAAAATGCCAATAGATTACCTAATGGTCTGAATTGGTTTTTATAAGAAGTTACAAGTAAAGGAAATTCCCAATTGAAATTCAATTGGTAAATACCACTTAAATGTTCAGCGCTTGCGCAATTTAATACAAATGACCACTTGTTTCTATTGGCAATTTTCTTACTGAAAAATACCAATAGATAAACTAATGGTCTGAATTGGTATTTTATCGGTGTGTAGGTACAAGGAACCCTATTGGTATATACCACTTTAATATTTATTTTCAAAATTCGCCAATAGGTAGGCAACCCATGCATACCTCTCGCCTCTGTAGCACAATACATAGGCCTATAAAGGTGGAATGCCTTGAGTTGCTAAGTAAGGATTCCTTACTAAGGCAAAATTACTGGCCATGGAAACGCTTGGCGTTTTGGAATTTTTAAAGGGGCACAGGTCGTCCTGTGGCCCACTCTGCGAAAAGTAAGCAGTGGGCCCCACTACTTACTTTTAGCAGAAGCTATTTATAAAATTTAAATTAAATGTTAAACAGCACTATTTTTGAGAAATTATTTAACCATCAAAACACGTAATTTTTTACCTTAAAGACGTCTAAAATGGATAGTGGGGACCAATTCAAACCAATAGCGGTACCTCTGGAAAATCCAAATAGCTCTATTGGGAATTACCAATAAAATATATCTATAATATATCTATTGGGAATTACCAATAAAATACGATTAGTCTCTATCGGTCTGTATTGGGATTTTCCAGCGGTGTCGCTATTGGTTTGAATTGGTAATTCATGGTACAGATACCACTATTGAGACCAATTCAAACCAATAGAGCTGCCGCTGGAAAATCCCAATAGCTTTTCTATTGGTCTTTATGGGTGATTTTTAACAGGGCTCCAGAACGTGATATGAAAATAATGGTACCCAGAGATCCATATCAGGTTAAAAATTGCCCTTTCAGGAAGTTTGCCAATAAATGTACAATTTAGGACTTACCCCAGTAGCACAAAATATTGGTCCTATATGGGGCGCGTCTATGCCCAATATTTTATCTGGGGCCAATATTGGATTTATTTAGCCTATGTTAGCCCAATATTGGCATAAAATGATAATTTAATATATCATTGCCAATGTTTATCTATATTGGTCCTATGTTGGTCCTATATTGGCATATTATTTTACGCCAATATATCATTAACTTTAGTCAACGATGCTTTCGGATTTCTAAAAGTGATATGTAATGACACACGTTTGTTTCCAGGATATGTCTATACTAGTGGCGCAGGAACGGTTTTAAGTTGGGGGTGGCGCAACCGTCTACCATCCTTATTGTTTATAATAAAGGCCATTCTTGCAATTACTGTAAGAATAACAAGGGTAATATGCGATTTCTTGTCTTATTAGCAATAAAATTCCTTATTACGTCAATAAAGCTCAAGCTGATCATTTTAGCACACGATACAAACGATTTTAGCATTTCATCGTAATTAAGAATAACATAGACGGTACATGACTTGTCTTATTGGTCAATTTTTTCAAAGAATTTGGAAGGTACATTTTATATCAAGTAACCCCCCTCTACCCCTTATCATTTGGGTGGGTGGCGAAAGATATATTGGCCCAATATTATTACGAATATTGGGCCAATATCATTGTGCTACTGGGGTAATCTGCCCTACTATGGAGAAAGGCAGTAACTGCAAAAAAATTCAAAATGCGTTTTCTTGTGCTATGGTAAAACTATGGACATTTTGTAACCGAATTCAATACAGAAATGCACTCAAATAGTTAAAAAAATCAATTAAATACCTACTGCTTTTTATAAAAATGTAGTTTATGCTAATTTTCCACAAATTTCTTGTTTAGCAGTTACTGCCTTTCTCCATATTAGATATTCCTATGATTTTTGTGCAATCACGATGGCCAACAATAAATGATCAAATTGTGTCCAATAATATGCAAAAGCCTTTTGGATTAAGTTAGGTAGGTTTAATTTTTAAAATGTTTGGACATGAAAAAACGATGACAAATTTCTTATGTTTACTTGGGCTTTTAAAAAATTGACCAACTACATGATATTGGTAAATACAGGCGCAGAAAACAATGTTTGTATTTAAATTTTGAAATTATAAGAAAAAAATAAAAATTTGTTAAAACAAAAACAAAAAATATATTGTTTTTTATGAAGAATCCTAAGAAAAGTTTTTTTTGATAAACAATCACTGGTCCTTTTTTAGCATAAAATTATCTTACAGAGTCCAGTCTGTAATATTAATTTTAAAAAGTCCATCATCGAATTTAAAATTTTTCCATTAATTTAACATGGAAAAATAGTTTTTTAAGATTTATTTCGCCTGCATACTATGTAAAACTTTTTTTTGATAAACAATCATTAGTTCTTTTTTAGCATTAAATTATCTACAAAAAATCTGTCGTCCAGTCTGTAGATTCAACTGTTTCTTTTTTATAAGCGTTAAAACGTATAACTATAAAAGTCAATTAGCAATTTTGAAGATATTTTAATGATCTACAAATTCGAATGAACAATTTTTTTATCACCTATAGGTGTATACAGTTCAAAAGTTATAAATGTTTCTAAAATCCTATTTTCAAGATTATGCATAATATATTATTATAATATTCATTGTAGGAAAAAAAATTTAGGGGCAATTTTGCAGGAAATTCGAAGCTCTATAAATAAGGTACCAAGATTCTTTAACACACTCAATTAATCGCTGAATTTAAGCTAAAATAGCTTAACTTTTATGATATTTTGACTGCAAATAAAATTTTATACTTCGCTTCAAAAAATTTTTTAAATACTGAAAATAATTTTAAACCTTTTATGCAGTTTACGTGCTATCGCGTTGGGAAATGACTGGCATAAAATATGTCATTTGTGGTCAAACTTAATAAAAATACAATTTATATACACTGAAAGAAATATATACTAAAGTTAAATAAAAAAATAATTAGGGCAAATATATTTTATGTTTCATATATAGACTACCACATACATTGCTAAAACAAATATATTCGTTTGGTTAGCAGCCTATTGCTGCCCTAGCAATATAAATGGTGTTTCTAGCAATATTTTTTTGCTGTAATTCACTTTTAGTTTACATTTTATAGTAAGGGTAAGTTTATTTTTATTTAGATCTAACATATCTTCTTTACAATAAATGTATTACAAAATTTACCATACATTCATAATAAACAGTAGTATAAATGTGTAAAGCACTAGTATAAAATTTTTAGTATAAATTTGTATTTACTTTTAGCAACAAATTTCTTTCAGTGTATGCAAATAAATAAATAATTTATTTTCCAAACCATGGTTCTCTGGGTAGTCATTAGTTCGGTCATTGAATTAGCATAGGAGAAGTTGGCGACAGTTAAAGAAAAGTTGATGAATAAATTTTTCAGGACAACCTCCGCAAGCACGTACTGTCAACAAACAAACATCCGGGCAAATGCATTTACGAATGCAAGTTTTGCAACGGCGATCGTTTTCACAGCAACTTTGCCAAGGAATTTAAGGTCCATTTGGTATCGCAGCATCCAGCGTTGTTCGGCGGCGGGACGCGGGCCGCCTCCTACGTAGCGGGAATCTACGACCTGGAGGGGGACTCGAATGTGCTAAACGACGCGGCCGTCATCAACGTGGATGATCCAGACGAAAGGTATTTTCCGTTTCTGTTCGCCATTGCATGCAAATTTACGATTCCGTGAATGCTCCACATGGTGCCTTGAATTTTTGCTTTTATCAAATTGATTTTTCAAAACAAAATATACTTTTAGCGATAAATTGATAACGGACCCAATAGTTCCTCAATTATACAATACGACACCAAGTCAAATCACGTTCACCAGCAAAAAGGATTTCGATGAGATAATGCCACTGTACGTTATTCCAAAGGACGAAGTAGTTTTGGTGGATAATCAGCCCGATACGTGGAACCTAATTGGAAGGTATGACGTCGAGGAAGAATCAGGAAATTTGGTGCCCTTCCAAAACGACCAAGAAGCCCTTTTTGAGGATCACTTTTAACCCTAATTCTGTGATTTTAAATAAAGCTTAAGTGTTTTTAAATGTTGTTTTAATAATAGACAGACAAGCAGACGAGTGTCTAAAAGTTGGGAGTTTCGACTTTGGTGGCGAATAAATCAAAGTAGCGATAGCTTTTCAGGTATACACGCTTCCTGAAGTCGAGTCAAGGAAAGTACATGCTTTGTACAGTAAATCTTAGCATTTGTACAGTAAATCTTAGCATTTGACGCGGCTGTCATCAACGTGGATGATCCAGACGAAAGGTATTTTCCGTTTCTGTTCGCCATTGCATGCAAATTTACGATTCCGTGAATGCTCCACATGGTGCCTTGAATTTTTGCTTTTGAGTCATTCCAAATGAAAACACCAAAAATGAATTTAAAAATGCGCTGCATGATTTTTTATTTTAATGAAAAAATTTGAGAATGATGTTTTATATGGAACGCCGTTTTACTATTTATAACTAGTTGGTACCAATGTATCATTTAAATTATTGTTAATTTTTTTATAGGTTTGATAATGGAAATTAAAAGTATTTTCCTTAATGGACATTGAATTTTTATTTTAAGTTATAATGATAACTATAAATAAATTTATACCTATACAAATAAAGTTTAATAAACATATTTGTTATTTGAATTTACATGTTTACTGAATTTAAATGATACATACATTTCTGTATTTCAGAAGGGTTATAGAAACAATTTCCTTGATACTTTAATTTATATTATACTTTAATTTCCATTATACTTTAAATTTCATGATATTTTAATTTCGATTATACTTTAATTTACATGACACTTGAATTTCCATTATACTTTTAATTTTTATTATCGTAGCCATCTATTGAGGAAAATCAGAAGCTAATACAGATGATACTTTAATTTCGATTATACTTTAATTCACAAGACACTTGAATTTCCATTATACTTTCAATTTTTATTATAGTAGCCATCCATTGAACAAAAGCAGAAGTTAATTTAGATGATACTTTAATTTATAGTTTTGTATATAACATAATATGACATATTATGTTATATACAAAATTTACCAAAGAAATACGCACAAATAATATTTATGAAATATTTTTGTCAGTTCTGACATTTCTCTACCAAACATGAATTGACTAGGTCAAAGCCATCTAAATTTTAAATTATAAATAAAACTAACAATATCGCTTCTTAACTGCATTAAAAAAATTATTATATCTTTTACATGGATAAAAATAAAAAAACAAGACTAACTAGACTGAAAAGATGAAGGTTGGGACTACATTTCCTGAAAGTTTCAGATTTTTATTTTTTCCTCAACATAATGATTTCTGAGGGCAAAATTGGCTAATTTTGAAAATTATCAAGTTTCAATAATTTTTTTAATAAAGAAAATGATAGTCTAGAAACTTAAAATAATAGTTACGTTTTCTATTGTATAAGTAGGTACTTGATACCTGAAAAAAAAATAACTTTCTAGATTTAGTAGCAAATTATCATAAATCTTTAGTGGTTTACCATTCTTTTATGAGATTAACTAATTAGATTATAATAATTTATATCGAAAACACACTTACTGAACAGTAACAAAAATTAAAATCATTTCAATATTTGTCACAGAAAAAAAGTTCTGGACCAATATAAGAGAGTAAGAAATTGACACGATTTCAGATTTCTAAGATTAAAAGTAAAGAATCCAAAAATTAAAACGGCAACGGATTTTCATATTTGATACCTAAAAGATCATCCTCAATTTTTTTTATCATAATAAAAAATCAAGCAGCGCACCCCATTTGGTGTTTTTATTTGGAATAAAATTATCAAATTGATTTTTCAAAACGAAATATACTTTTAGCGATAAATTGATAACGGACCCAATAGTTCCTCAATTATACAATACGGCACCAAGTCAAATCACGTTCACCAGCAAAAAGGATTTCGATGAGATAATGCCACTGTACGTCATTCCAAAGGACGAAGTAGTTTTGGTGGATAATCAGCCCGATACGTGGAACCTAATTGGAAGGTATGACGTCGAGGAAGAATCAGGAAATTTGGTGCCCTTCCAAAACGACCAAGAAGCCCTTTTTGAGGATCACTTTTAAGCCTAATTCTGTGATTTTAAATAAAGCTTAAGTGTTTTTTAATGTTGTTTTAATAATAGACAGACAAGCAGACGAGTGTCTAAAGTTGGGAGTTTCGACTTTGGTGGCGAATAAATCAAAGAAGCGATAGCTTTTCAGGAAACTGTTTTCAGGTATACACGCTTCCTGAAGTCGAGTCAAGGAAAGTACATGCTTTGTACAGTAAATCTTAGCATTTGTACAGTAAATCTTAGCATTTGACGCGGCTGTCATCAACGTGGATGATCCAGACGAAAGGTATTTTCCGTTTCTGTTTGCCATTGCATGCAAATTTACGATTCCATGAATGCTCCACATGGTGCCTTGAATTTTTGCTTTTGAGTCAATCCAAATGAAAACACCAAAAATGAATTTAAAAGTGCGCTGCATGATTTTTTATTTTAATGAAAAAATTTGAGAATGATATTTTATATGGAACGCCGTTTTACTATTTATAACTGGTACCAATGTATTATTTAAATTATTGTTAATTTTTTTATAGGTTTGATAATGGAAGTTAAAAGTATTTTCCTTAATGGACATTGAATTTTTATTCTGAGTTATAATGATAACTATAAATAAATTTATATACAAATAAAGTTTAATAAACATATTTGTTATTTGAATTTACATGTTTTCTGAATTTAAATGATACATACATTTCTGTATTTCAGAAGGGTTATAGAAACAATTTCAATGTTGTACCAATTAATTAAATATTTCAAATATTGAAAATGCATATCCATTCTTATTTAAAATGAAAATGATATTTAAATTATTATTTAAAATCAAAATTGAAACAATTTCCTTGATACTTTAATTTATATTCCATATACTTTAAATTTCATGATATTTTAATTTCGATTATACTTTAATTTACATGACACTTGAATTTCCATTATACTTTTAATTTTTATTATCGTAGCCATCTATTGAACAAAAGCTGAAGTTAATTTAGTTGATACTTTAATTTATAGTTTTGTATATAACATAATATGACATATTATGTTATATACAAAATTTACCAAAGAAATACGCACAAATAATATTTATGAAATATTTTTGGCAGTTCTGACATTTCTCTACCAAACATGAATTGACTAGGTCAAAGCCATCTAAATTTTAAATTATAAATAAAACTAACAATATCGCTTCTTAACTGCATTAAAAAAAATATTATATCTTTTACATGGATAAAAATAAAAAAACAAGACTAACTAGACTGAAAAGATGAAGGTTGGGACTACATTTCCTGAAAGTTTCAGATTTTAATTTTTTCCTCAACATAATGATTTCTGAGGGCAAAATTGGCTAATTTTGAAAATTATCAAGTTTCAATAATTTTTTTAATAAAGAAAATGATAGTCTAGAAACTTAAAATAATAGTTACGTTTTCTATTGTATAAGTACTTGATACCTGAAAAAAAATAACTTTCTAGATTTAGTAGAATAGGCACAGGAGCCAGACAAAAATCACAAAAATTGGCAAATTATCATTAATCTTTAAGTGGTTTACCATTCTTTTATGAGATTAACTAATTGGATTATAATAATTTATATCGAAAACACACTTACTGAACAGTAAAAAAAATTAAAATCATTTCAATATTTGTCACAGAAAAAAGTTCTGGACCAATATAAGAGAGTAAGAAATTGACACGATTTCAGATTTCTAAAGGGTGCCGATTAAAAGTAAATAATCCAAAAATTAAAACGGCAACGGATTTTCATATTTGATACCTAAAAGATCATCCTCAATTTTTTTATCAAAATAAAAAATCAAGCAGCGCATCCCATTTGGTGTTTTTATTTGGAATGACTATTTTATCAAATTGATTTTTCAAAACGAAATATACTTTTAGCGATAAATTGATAACGGACCCAATAGTTCCTCAATTATACAATACGACACCAAGTCAAATCACGTTCACCAGCAAAAAGGATTTCGATGAGATAATGCCACTGTACGTCATTCCAAAGGACGAAGTAGTTTTGGTGGATAACCAGCCCGATACGTGGAACCTAATTGGAAGGTATGACGTCGAGGAAGAATCAGGAAATTTGGTGCCCTTCCAAAACGACCAAGAAGTCCTTTTTGAGGATCACTTTTAAGCCTAATTCTGTGATTTTAAATAAAGCTTAAGTGTTTTTAAATGTTGTTTTTATAATAGACAGACAAGCAGACGAGTGTCTAAAGTTGGGAGTTTCGACTTTGGTGGCGAATAAATCAAAGTAGCGATAGCTTTTCAGGAAACTGTTTTCAGGTATACACGCTTCCTGAAGTCGAGTCAAGGAAAGTACATGCTTTGTACAGTAAATCTTAGCATTTGTCATGCACATACAAATCTAAACAAAAGTACGAGCGGCTCTATATCAAGGTGAATCTTCCTGTTCGGCCTGAAAGATATATTGCCTGTTCGTAATATTCTCTTCAAAACCGTTTCGGAGTTGATAAGTAGCCGCTTTTACTATTTATAATCCCTTTTATTTTTCAGACTCCATCTTGCTCCACTGAAGCCATGAATTTTAACCATCCAACCTGTTTGTCATTTTTGACTCGCTCGTAAATCTATCATAACTTTTGATGATATATTGCCTTTATCGAAACTTTGATATTCAACCAATAATTAACACAATTGAGAACAAACCTTTGTATGAGATTGTTATCGTTGGAAGCTTTTTCTACCCTAACCTAAATTAAATTATATAAAAGGAAGGCAGTGACGGCTCGTCAGGGTAGGCCTCTGAGGCCCTATTACAAGTGTACTTTTACTACAGTTCTACAGAATAAAAAAATCAATCAATCATACTAAGCATAAATGGTATTCAATTTACCTACTAATATATCTGGCGAGTTCGAGTCTATTTGTCGCTGCTTGAGGCGAGAGAATTAGAGCTTGGGCTTGCTCTAATTGGTGGTTTTATATCACATGACTTAAGATGTGGTGGGTGGCAGTTTGTGTTGCAGTGTGTGTAGAACGGGTGTTTTTGTTTTGATGCAGATTAAATTATTTTAAACTTTTTTAGTATTTGTCTCGATTAGTAAAATTTATTGTTGTGATGCACGGGGGTACATACACGCTACACAGGTAGAATTAGCAGTTTTTATTAGGCAACAAGTCGTATTGAGTTTCAATTAAGGTTAAGGTTCATTATTCTCTTAATAATTGAAACGCCTTGTTTAAGAAGAAACGAAACTGAAAGAAGACAGATATTGGGCATCGTCCAACTCTAAAAATGTCATCAATATTTAACAATAAGAGGCAATATTTAAGTGGCTATGCAGAAGTGTTTATAAACAAAGCTTATTATGTTGGCATTGTATTTTATTAGGCCGCCTAAAAGGGGTGGGTATTCCCATTGCTCTGATATTTTATTTGTTTTATATGTATATATATTTTTATCTTTCCATATAAATATATTTTTAAGTTCCAGGTATATATTTTAAAGTTTTAAAAAACTTTTTAGTGATGCACAAATGTTTGTATTGTAATTTTTTAATTGTGTTCCAGGCAATATCATAAATAACACGAAATTTAGGTCCATTAAAAAGAATTTAAAAAATTTCTTGACGAACACATCTGATTCTTCTCTCAATAAACTTAATAATTGTCGCAGCTGAAACGCATTTTCACTTGGGGGACATCTCAATATATTCACCCAAATAAGTTAAAACATGAAATATTAAATCACTAAACACTAAAATCATTACAACACAACAAATAAGAAGCAATATTTATGAGGCGCCGTTTGTCCGTAAATTATTTTTGCTATATAAGAATATTTTTTATATATAAACTTTAAATTTCCTATATTATATAGAAACTTTTTAGTTCAGATAATGCTGCTTGATAATGAGGGCGCTTTGCGGTTTTCAACTAAAAAGCACTGTTGCCAGAGTTTGCCAATGCAAAGTTTTGGTCAGTGTTTCCAACATAACGTTTCGCCAGATCTGGCAGATTTTAATAAAGGTCGAGGGAAAAAAGATAGTCTTACGGCTGACGGTAACGGAAACTTGAACATAATATCGAATGGTATTTGTACCTATACAATCCAAGTTTAAAAAAAAAGATTCTTTGTTTTTTTATAAATTGACAAGAGAAACAAAACGTAAGAAATTTTAGTTTTTTTAAATACCTATTAGTAAAAACGAAGCCGTGTTTATTTAGAGAAATAGACACGGCCAAAGAGAAATGTTTTCTTCAATAAAAATAGACCAACCGACCAATATATTACCTATAAGTATTTAAAAAAAACTAAAATCCTATACTTTTTGACATCATTTTGTTCCGCTAGATCTGGCCGAAGATCCGTTAAAACTTTGCATTGGCACACTCTGGCAACAGTGCTTTTTAGTTGAATACCACAAAGCGCCCTCATTCTCAAGCGGCATTATCTGAACTAAAAAGTTTCTATATATATAGGAAATTTAAAGTTTATATATAAAAAATATTCTTATATATATCAAAAATAATTTACGGACAAACGGCGCCTCATAAATATTGCTTCTTATTTGTTGTGTAGTAATGATTTTAGTGTTTAGTGATTTAATATTTCATGTTTTAACTTATTTGGGTGAATATATTGAGATGTCCCCCAAGTGAAAATGATTATTTTTTATTTTTGGTTGTTTCGCTGTTAGTCTAGAATGGAGTTTTTGGGAAGCCACCAGGTCTAGTAATATCATAACATAAGTGGTTCTGCACTAATGCAAGAATTTTAAGAAATCATACATTTTGAATATTAGAGCTTCACGGAGGTTAGGATTTCGTATGTTTTTTTTAAACATCCCTTTGTATATTTGAAATAAGTTATTGTATCTTTTGACACCTTAATATTTTTTAAAAATACAATTGTTTTTTAAAAATACAATTATACATACATAAAATATTTATGAAAAAAATCTGCTTACTGAGATATTACACTTCACGGTGGATAGGTTTTTAAATAGCAAATTAATGAACTTAAACTTTTGAATTATAAAACAGCAACACTCTCATCTGCATATAAATTCTAACTGACCTTCCGGAATCACATGCATCTATAATGTCGTAAACAGATTCTTTTGCTTATTTAAAATGATTAAAGCGCCATCCGTTGCATACAATTTAAAGTAAAAACAGATTCATGGAGGATAGTATCAATTTTTGTAAAACCTACAAAAATGGTTAAAAAATTATATCTTTTAATTTTTAATAATATCTTATATTTGATTCGATTGCTTTGGATGTGTTTAATTTACCCAATGAACTGATATTTTTAGTATGCTTTTACTACCTCAGATATTTGAAAACATATTGGTTAACCTAAAATTATTGTTATAATATTTTTCCCTAGACAAGTTTTTTTAACTTACAGGGCTATTTTTTGTTTATTTACCTATAACTTTATGATTTATATATTATATATTATTATTGTACAGAACAAATTGATAAATAAATATTATTATTATTATTATTATTTAGACAAAATTGCCCTCGTGTGGTTTAACCTACAGGTATAGCACAAACGACACGTAATTTATTTAATTTAATACCCTTTGATATCTTGGTTATTTATAATCAAAAGTGTGTTTTTATAATAAATGTTAAACTAAAAAACAAACATATGTTTGATTAACAGGGGCGCCAATGGTTGGAGGCGTATAAAACCAAATAAATCCTCAGCATTGTAATACTTTGTGCGGCTTAGCCTGGATGCTTGATGAATGTTTATTGCACCCTTAATGGTTCTTATTATTCGGTAGAAGGATCGAAGCCTTTTGATTAGCGATTAGAAAACGTCAGAGTGGCGTGTCCCGCGGTGGTAAATCACTCAAAAAAGGGGGCCAAGATGGCGTCCCTCCGTCTCTCTAAATCATACGCAACCTGTAATCACCGGCCATAAATACAGTCCAGCTGGGCTGACGACGTCATTCCACCCTCCCACCGTGCTCATCATAGCTGATTGATTTCGTGGATCCGCTGCCCCGTCCGCAATATCTCACTTACGATTTATCGTTCACGATTCGATTCCTTTTAAATGAACGGATGGGCCGAACGTAACTTAATTAAAAACATGCCTGTGAACACAAAGAAAACACATTTAATGAGTTTTCAATTTCTACAAAAAATCATACAGAAAAAGTCGGTTTTAATATTAAAATACAATGGTGGTTTGTTCTGCATTTAGGTTCTGCTGGATATGTTCAACTTTGCAAGTCTGGAGAGTTGAAGGGTGGTTATGTTAAATTAACACAAAGACAATCAACACCATAGACAACACCTTAAAATCCTTAAATCTAGTGTTTTTTGTTTCCCCTAGACAGGTCTGCCATACTTTTTACATCATTCGTATATTGCCAAAAGTCGAATGCAATACTTTTATTTTAAGTAAACTTTTTTCAACATTCAAGTGTTGCAATAAGTATTTATACAATATCTGCAAGTTTTCAAAACTAATAGTGACATCTTTTAATGTAAATACAACTCTTTGGGTTTTTGCAACATACGATTATTGCCAAAACTATGTATAATATTTAACTTTTTTCCATAAAAGCTTTACTTTTCCCCATAAAGCACAATCGCATAAACCTTAACAATTACAAAGTGAGTTTTTGCAATCTGTGACAATTGCAAACAGTTTTTTGATGTTTATATTCTTTTTTCTACCCTCACCTTTAAAACGCCCTTTATCGTACATGTTTCCATGACACTAAGTGACCTTTTAAATACACATTGGCAAGTTGTGGCTTTATGGCGCTTTAGTCACGGGCTGAAGTTAGTTTTAAGTTAGTTGACAGTTGTCAAATGTCATACAATCGTTAAAATAATACTAAATATGAAAATTATTAAATGGTTTCTCAACGCCAATATTTAAAAAGTTTATATGAACATTGTACTGACCTTCTAATTTCGCCGGCAGTAAACTATAACTTAAATTCCTCATAAAACATTTTCTTTACTTTCAATGTGAAAAACTGTCAATTTTCAAGTAATACATTTCGTACCAGTTAAGAACTGTTTTGTTGGCTATAAAAAGTTATAAAAAATATAAATAAAAATAAATAAAATAAATAAAAAATTTATAACCTTTATAATCTGTGTTTATAAAATTTAAAAATGTGACATTTG